TTATATTCAACCTTGTTAGAATTAACATCTAGTCGGTCCTTGGCTATAACTAAATACAAGTTATATTCGACAATGTTCGAATCAACACCTATGGCCCTCGGCCATAATCAAACCTAGGCTTTGCTTCAACCTCGTTCAACCTACTCGAACAAAGTTATTATGACTAAGGCAACCAAGAAAAAGAATCAGGTACAAATAACAAAATTAACATTTCATACTTAGAATATTTTTTACAAAGGTTCGAATACTCGCTTACAATAAATGTACACAAGACTGTGCCTAAACAATAAAGGAAAGGAAAAATAACTAATCGCTGCCTGGCTCAACAGCACCACCAGCTTGATCGCCCAGGCCATATCCATCTGCCTCTTTGCCATCGCCATCGCCAGCGGGATTCTCATCCTCGTACCAGATATCCTGTTCAATTCGATCCACACCCGCACCCTCCTCATCATCACCATCCTCCGGTGTAGCGGGATCATAGCCACAAGCAAACCGAGCTCTATGTGCCTTAGCACGAGCATCCTCAAAGTAGGCTTCTGAAATAGCTCCCGCCCCTAGCAGATCCCTAAATGTTTCCAGTTGGGCCTCAGCGTGAATCTATTCCTCGTACAAATCCCACGGAACATCAGGAAAAGCAGAAGCACGGGAAGAAGACGGCTGAGCCAATAACTGTGCCTTCTAGGCCTCGAAGCAACAACTCGATCACAAAGTCCTGAAGCTTCTTTTCCAGCTCCCCTATCCGCTCATCAAGCCGCTCCTCTCTGAGCCTGGCTGTCTCCAGAGCACTCTCCCGCTCAGATCGGAGAATGCGGATCACGATCTCCAAAGCCCCCGCTTTCCTCGTAGCCGACAACTGGGCCAACTCCGCCTTCTCCAAACCCGCTGCCTTCTCAGTGATCTCGCCACTCAGAGCGTCTGCTTTGAGTTGACACTCCTCGAACTCGGCGCGCAATGAGACCACTTGGTCTTGAAGGTCGGTACATTGGGCCTCGACACCCCTGCTCACCTCAAGCTCTTCCTCTTTGTCCCTTAACGCCCCCTCGAGAATGTTGCATTTTTCGATGACTCTTACCTACTCATCATCCTTCTCCATCAGTTCATCTCGGAGAGCCTGGATATTGGCGCTCTTACCGAACCGTCTGCATATCTCGCGATTTCACGATATTTTTGCTCCATCTTCTGAAAAATAGCCTTACGCCTCTCCTCTCGTCGGGCGTTCTCAATCTCCAAAATCACAGTCTAAAAGAAAAATAAAAAATGAAGAGGGATCAAAAAACTTACCCTAAGAGCGAGGCCGACTATGCTCCTAGATAGAGTGGCATCCTTCAACTTTTCGAGGGTTTTACCCTCCGCATCAGAATAGAGGGGACCAAGAGAAGGGACCAACAAATCCCGATCCATAGGGATCGCGATAGTCCGCGTGGTCCCCTCCAACTCACCTCGAGTCGGGTAAGTCCTTCCCCTATCATCCTCACCTCCTCGACATACATGTCAGAGCCTGTCTCGTAACCTTCCTCGGCTACACATTTTCCTTTTAAGTCGGCCCTAGAAGAATGATTCTCGGCCGGTCGCGAGGTTGATGGCTCGTCCTACTGGAAGTCAATAGGGACTCCAGCTGATGGCCCTTCGAATCCCATCACGGTATCAGGGAGAGATGTACCCTCTTCGGCTTCAGACGGTGGCGGAATCACATGCGGTAATTCGATGCCACCTCCAAGCTTTATGGTCTCCATTTCTCGGACGACGAAATCCTCCATCACTGATCTCCTCTTGCGGGGAAGAAAGTTACCTCCACTTGGCGACGATTCCTCTTCATTATCCTCGTCTACTAGATGATGCAAAAGGGAAGTCGGGAGTTCTTCTACAGATGTAGTCGACGGCCGGCCAGACCTAGCCGCGACAGAAGAAGGAATAGAAACGTACAATCGGGCGGGCCTGGCCGCGGTCATAATGGGAACAGACCCCGAAGAAGAAGCAACCTTCCTCTTACGAAATGAAGGAGGAGAGGCCTTCGGTCTATTCGAAGGTCCTCGGGCTGTAAAAGAAAGATTAAGAGAATGTCACTTCCTATGCAAAACTATAACGAGCAAGTGACTATGAGGCCAGAACAGTATATATAAAAATAATAATAATAAATAATAAAAATACATAGATGAACTCACCGGTCATGAAAGATGTGGGCCCTAACCTCTTGAGGAAGGCCGTCCATTCACGAATCCCCACTGTGTGAGGCAGAACCTGACGGACCCAGTCATGAATGTCCCCGACCAAAGGAGGGGGCGTAGTCTCGGCTACACGAAGAAGGGACGGAATGTCAGACTACTACTGAAACATGCAAAACAAATGGGAAAAACAAACGCTTGACAAAAAAAGATACTTACGGGCATAATTCCAAGTCACAGGGAATCCGCTCGCGTTCGCCACCATGTCCTCGGTTTTGATCAAAAAGTAGTTGAGCCAGAACTGGCGATTTGCCTTATCATCCATCTTCACCGTCAGGCACTTATTTCCTCGGTGGCGGAGGTACAACATGGTCCCCTTATAGAAACTGGGAGCGAAAAGATGCATCAGGTGGCGGAGTGTGACCTCGACCCCGGCCAATTCCGCAAATTTTGCAAGCATGCAGATAAACTTGTAGATGTATGGAGAGAGTTTGGCCGGGAAAATATCATAATAATGACAAAACTCTTCCACCAATGGGAGAAGAGGAAAGGAATAGCCAACATAGAAAGGATACGCATAAAATGCGCAATACCCGGGGCGGTGTATTTGTACCATATCGCGCTCCGCTGGGATCAGATCGATGTGGGCAGGAATTTTGAACTTAGCCCTAAGCTCGGCGAGATCGATCTCCTTCATCGTTGATTCCGAGACCTCAGGGTCATCCTCAGGCATCCTCGAGAAATCAGACCTAATTTTCTCATTACGAGGAACTATTTCCTCCGCCGTAGGGAAGTTCTCTTCCTCAGCGGCGACAGAGATCCTATCGGCGTGAGGGGGCATCAGCGCCGCCAAAGGGGTAGGATCGATTTCCATACCAGGAGAAAAGGATGCCTTAGTCATATTAATTAAGGAAGGATGTTCGAGCAAGGAAATGTTAGAAGCAGCGAGAGTCGCTAAAACCACTAAGAAGTTTCAAACAATGGGGGAAGGAGAAGATGCAAGATTTGCTGGGTACAAGAAATTTCGTAAATGTTGAAACGTTACTCACATACCCCTATTTATAAGGATGCATGCATCGAAACCAAGAAACTATCCATCATTACATGATTCTGTAACCGAAGCGGCAGGCTCTATCAGGAGGCGTGCGCGAAACGAAGCAACATCTTAGGAAATTGCGCCATAATGACGTCAGCTGCCATGACATCACCTTGATTCGTGGGATTTGCAACCCTATAACTTACGGTTCGCCTTAACCATCACGGCTCGTCAATCTCGTCTAAACACTTCGATCACATTACACAGAGTCCATTCATCAAGGCCGTCTGGTGTCGGCCTTAATAAGAGGAGGGACTAACCGTATAGGCCAAAATCCGCCCTAAGGATATTTAGCGTAATATGGCATTAAGGAAAGAGTTGGTTGAGGTCACCCAAGAAGTATCAAAGTCATTGGCCGAAGTGTCGACATGAGCCGTAGTCGAGATGTCGACAAGAGCCGTAATCAAGATGTCAACAAGGGTCGAGGTCGAGGTTGAGGTTGAATATTGATGATAGGAGCTATAACGGCTAGTTTACCGTTATAGCCATGATAGGATATTAAAAGGGAATATTCTGGTGAATATTCTTTGCACTTGTACTATTAGGGTTTCTTAAGAAAATGTCCCGTATATATAAAATGAAGAGACAATGATAGGGGCATGTAATATTCATTTGATAAGAACACTTTTCAGAAGAAAATTCTCTCTCTTGTAAAAATACAAAGATTACCTTTTGATAAAGATTCTTGCTCATATCATTCCACACTTTTTCATCAGATCCGGGGATTGTTTAAACAAATCTTGAATCTTTCTGTCACTCATAATTGTGAGGAGCAACATTCGTCCAATCCATCTATTATCGGGTGGATCATTCTCCATACTTACTTAAATGCTATTTATTGCTATTTATTACTAGTTACACCTCCATTATTGCTCATACTTTAAGAATATTTCGCACTTATTGTCGTCAATCATTTTTGGGATCTGTCCCCATTTCTCACACTTTTTCAAGATTTGTATATAGAGTTATCATCCTTACTAGATTTAACTCATTATTATATAAATTTAACAGTTTAATCGAAAGTTACACTTTTTGATCAAACATGTACATTTCATACAAATCTTATACTCATGATTGAATCTTAACTAAAGCTTAAACAAGTTCTTAAACCAATAATACGATACTTAATTGTTGTAATATCTTACTAATCATAACTAGTACACACGTATATACATATAATTATTTTAGACCTTATACTCCGTCCGTTTTAATTTATGTGAACATATTTTCTTTTTAGTCTGTGGCAAAAAGAATATCCCCTTTCCTTATTTGAAAATAATTTACCTTTATTTAATAATTTATACCAACATAAAATATATATATATATATATATATATATATATATTATTTTATACTATAAATTTAAAAATATTCTCTTTTTCCTTAAACTCCGTTCCAGTCAAATGAGTTTACATGGAATATAGTTTATAGATCTGGAGTATAGTATTGAGAATGATAACGACTTCCTTTCAAGTTGCATACTGAGAGGGTTCATCGTGTTTTATTCCACGCCGTCGATGGCATTCTGATCCGCCTCATCAACGGCGGAGAACGGTGGATCACCCGTGAAACCAGAAAAGGCTCGTGCCGTGACAGAGCCTCAAACTTGAATTTTTTTTAGGCCCTTTGCACTTTGCTGCCACACGGCTCTCGTTAACGAAGGGCCACGTCTTCCATTTTCTTGCACCCATTATTGCCCAGACAATTTCCAAATATTTACAACAAACTCAGCATCACAAAACCACAAAAGAAATGGTCTTTTTCGTCATTTCTGTACTGAAATATCTACTTTGAATTTCATTTCAAAGCTTCCCCAGTTTTGAAAATTCCAACTCCATTATTCCTCCTTCACTCGTTTGAACAGTCCATCATCGGACATGGCGGTAGTGGTCGGAAACATAGCACTATTACTCGACGGAACTCACGTGACCACCCCACGTGCTGCTGTCGTGTTACCAGATCGCAAAACAAGAGACGTTCTTTTGAACTTTTTTGTAAAGAAAGACCCGTATCAGAATCAAAGCATGTACACTTGTAGTGGGTTTGAAAATGAGAAAGATAGAGTAAATCCGAAAGTGGGTTTTAGAGGAAAAGTGAATTCGAAAGTGGGTGCTGTGGATTACGAGAATTTAAGTGATGATGAGAATGGAAATGGGTTTGAGGATGAAGGAGAAAGTGGAGAAGAGTTTGATTGGGAGAAAGAGATGAGGAGGAGAGTGAAGGAGATAGAAGAGATGAAGGAGTTGGAGAAGAAAGCCGAGGAGTTGCAGAATCGGGTTGATGAGGAGTTTGGTGAGGAAGGTGAAAGTAGCGAAGAGACTGAGGAAGAGAAGCGTGAGAGAGTTCGAAGAGAGCTCGAAAAGGTGAGGCTGCTTTACTCTTGATGTTATAACAGTCCTTGTTTTTTTATTCTGTCGTATTACTACTGATTTTTTTTATACTGGTGATGTTTGGAGTAGTTTGTGCTCTCACAACTAATCGATTGAGTACCTGCTACTTAACTTAGTCCATCTAGGTTTAGGCTGGCAAGAAGAGATCACCTAAGGAACCTGAAAGTTGTATATATGTGTATCCTACAAGCAGTGGCGGGAAGTTCACCGAGGGGATTCAAAAAATAAAAGATAAAAAAAAACATGCGAAGAAGCTAAGGGGATTCAACATCTAGGGCTGAACCCCTTCCGCCCACCTAGCTCCGCCCCGGTCCATAAGATGCTTTCTCTCTTCATCTTATGGTAACCTGTTTTAGGTATTAGCACTTGGAGATGAATAGCTATTGAAGCAACTTATAAAAGGGGCAGTGTGGCCTTTTCTGATGTACTAGTGATAGTCTTATTCATCTTTCGTCTAGGTTTGGCTAACTGCTAATTTAATTTTGAAGCATGGTAGACAGGGAGCAAAAGAAGAGAAACTAAGGTGGGTAACATACGATTGCAAAATTGTATCCGGAATAGCAGAAATGAGAGAACTATTTCAGAATCCTCTGTAGCGCTTCATTTTGTAGTGCATCAGTGGCTAAAGCCTATTTTTCAGTAATTGGGAATGGTTTTCTAATTTGAGTAGGTATTTATTTGCAACCAAGAAACTCCGGAAGAGCTGAAATTTGCTGAAAATTACTCTTAACAACTATTATTGCATATATATATTTCACTTGCATGCTTCGTAAAATACTTACTGTTGTATGTGTTGAAGCTTTGTCGTGATGATGTTGATATGGGTGAAATTATCTTTTAAATGACTTGGTTAACATTAGGGTTTGATAAAAAATATCAGATCCTTTAAATTATCATTTTTTATTTTGGTTTGAAATTTAGGTGGCAAAAGAGCAATCAGAACGCAGAAAAACTGCTCAATTAATGTTTGATTTGGGCCAGAAGGCTTATGGGAAGGGCATGTATGGACGTGCAATAGAGTTCCTCGAGGGTGCTCTTACTATCATTCCTAGACCAACCTTGTTCGGTGGAGAGGTTAGTGGTGACCACTTCCTGAATAACCACACACAAAATGTGCTAATTTTTGTTCTAAGACTAATTGCCTATGTTCAANCCTCGAGGGTGCTCTTACTATCATTCCTAGACCAACCTTGTTTGGTGGAGAGGTTAGTGGCGACCACTTCCCGAATAACCACACACAAGATGTGCTAATTTTTGTTCTAAGCCTAATTGCATTTACAAATTGAACTTTCAGATACAAATATGGCTTGCTATGGCTTATGAAGCTAATAACCGCCATGCTGACTGCATTGATTTGTATAAGCAATTAGAAAGGAAACATCCCAGTATCAGCATCCGACGTCAAGCTGCAGAGCTTCGCTATATATTGCAAGCACCTAAGCTGAAGATATCTCAAGAAGAAATGGTTACCATACCACTAATTGGTTCTAGCTATGATAGGTAAGTCCCAGTCATGCAATATTATATTGCTTATGTTAGCTAATTAAGACAGTATCAATTACTTGCCTCTAAGCTGAGGGCGTGATATGCAAGTGCTTGGGGAAATCAATATGGTTCGCTAGTGTTGCGTTTGTTTTAATATGATAATGGCTTAAGCATAATGTTACTAGCTAGCATCAATATAATTGTAACAATAACGTAATTAAAATTGTTTGTGTTCTTTTGCATGCTAGTTTTAGCATCCATGGACCATGGATTATTGGAAATATGAAAATGCTTCCAAGATATGTACGGGTTAAAGCATAGAAGTAGCAGAGCAGTTGAACAATTGAAGTTTTTTAATGTGCTATTCTGCTATGTACCCTCTCTTCTCCCTCTTTGCCGATAAATGTAAATTTTTTTGCGGCAGTGGATAGCAAGGGTCAGGTTAGGAATGTGACTTCAGATGATTAACGAGAACTTTTTCTTGTGTTGACGCTTTGGATGAATGAATTATTTAGGGGTTGTATTCTCCTTCTTCCTTTCCTTCTCTCGTTCTTTCTTTCTTTTTTCATTTCTCATTTTGAAGTTTTTTGTTTCATGGTTGAGGGTGCCTTTTCCTGGTAGGACCTTTGGAATCTCTTCTTTCTTCTTAAATGAATGAGGGTACCTTTTAATGTGAAGTAGATTTTCAGCTCATAATGTACCAATTTTAAGGGGTATGATCAGATATGAGACCTTTCTAAGAAACTGAAGCTTGTTGATGCTCGGATAATCTAACTAGTTGTATTGTAGACAAACCTATTGAAGTTAGAAACTGGGGCAGAGCTAGTCTTTCGGTTGCGAGTTCGGCTGAACCCAATAGCTTTAATCCAAACCTTGTATATGTCTTAAGAATTCATTGAATTATATAAAAATTCTTTATCTAAAACCTAATAACTTTAAAAAAATTAAAATTCTGAACCCATAAGTTTCAAATCCTGATTCCCGCCTCTGGTTAGAAATTGATTGAATGAAATATATTAGACTCATTTACCCATGCAAGAAGCCTAGCAGTAACTGAATGACAACATTAGTATAGTATGCGATGCCACAATCTGGTGTAACATGTATCAACACATTAGTATGGAGTTCTGAGCATATTGATTTAACATATACAAATGAGGAATAGGTAGGTAACATTGTTTTCTTCTTTTTACTAAATATTAGGCTGTTTGCCCATTTTCGCTACTTTGGGGACAATTCCTTATTCATGATAACATTCGTATGAAGTAATTCTTGAAGAATCATGCGGTTAGAGGAACTCATGCTTCCTGTGGGGGAGTGATTCCAAGAATCGTTGAAGATCAGTGCGAAATTCCCTTCATTTTTTCCTGTGCTTCTTTTTGCAGTTATGCTGGAACATGGACTGACAAAAACAAGGAGAAAGATGAAAGACAAAGTCGATCAACAACAAATCAGCTTCCATCAAGCAGGGACTGGTTGGGGGACTTTATGGTGTGGAAACCAGCAGTTGGTATGGAGAATAGCCAATCATTCTGGGCAATTTTAACAATATGGATAGCTTTGGTTGGAGCTGCACTCTTTTTGCAAAAGTGAAGTTTATACAAGTAAAATGTTTATTGTCTAGCTTTCTATTCTTTATTGGTATAGGCTGATGTGTATTGCCATTTTTATGCCTGTTGTATATTACCATTTTTAATATGATTATTAGCAAATATCGATTCTGCCATGCACTGGACTTCGCATTTATCTTCAGTTTACATGTTTGATGGTTTTTCTTTCTCCTCCCAACAGAATGTTAATAGTTTCTGGGGCAAGCTAAAAGTGAAAAAAACCCTCTTTTTTCGAAACATTAGATTCCTTTGTGTGAATATTGAAAGAATTGACATAAATGCAAAGTATGATACTTGATCTCTATAATCATTTGTGGCATTCAGCTTAAACAGGCAGTATAATTTCAATTTGGCATGCACTCAGCTAACAAGGTTTTCACCATTTTCTTTCGCCTCCGAGTCTCCTCCCCATCGTTTTATCCTGTCTCTGGCAAGGGAAGCCTGTACCAGATAACCGAAGTGAAAATAAGTCAACATCTCTTTTAAATATGAGATTAGTTCTATGCATTGATGGGTAACAAATATTTACACTATTGGGTTACTGTTAAGGTAATTATACGTAAATAAACATAAAAAATATGATATAAATGATAACTAACTTCTATCATGGGTTAAACTACTACTACTACAACAACAACAACAAGAAACCCAATATAATCTCACATAGTGAGATCTGAGGAGGGTAGTGTACGCAACCTTATATTAAACTAAAACGATAATATAAAAAATCTTCTCATTGCCCGTGTATATAACTTGAGAAAACAACAGAGTTTGATTCTTGATGTGTGCCTTACCTCCTTGTTCCAATTAGTTCGAAGGACCATCATGATCAAGACACCAGTTTGAAGAGTCATACCTGCTAGCATCCCATACCAGATTCCCTGAGAATTTCATGCACAACATTTAAATAACAATATAATGTCTTAGAATTATAAGAATCTTGGAGCTGATGTTCGTATGGCAATTGATTAAACAATTTTGTTTCAAGTGAGATAAAGGAACTCATACCTTAACACCAATGTCAAGGAGGAAGCCAAGTATAAGACCTATGGGAATACCAAACAAATAGTAGCAAGCTATGTTTACATATGCAACATATGCTTGCCACCCTGCTCCAATGGCCACCCCTGCAATTACAGGAAATCTACCAAGTCACCAACCTTCACGCTTAGACCATCTAACAATTGTATATATCAATCGAATCAACCAACCATATCTCAATCTCAAACTAGTTGAAACATGATTTTTTTTTAAATGGCGTCACTTGCATACCATTTGCTCACGCGAGTGTTCTTACATTTCAATTTTTATACATGTGGTTGTCTACTTGAGTTTTGCGTAAAAGAGTTCTCTTTACAAATATTAATTTGATGACTTTGGCGCGATAAAATTAAAAAGTTAGGTGACCATGAAATTATCCCAAATTTTCTATATTCCGTCCGTTTTATTAGCCAATAAAATAATTGTGCAAAAAAGATCAAAGAGCAGGTAAGTTGAGTACCAGAAAGAGTAGGTTGAAGACTGCTAACAATAATGGTGACTGCTAACATAGGTGTGAGCTCATATACAACCTGCTGGACTTCCTCATTATTTGAAAACAATGGAGGATACCAACTCCGAGAAAAAAGTAGAACCAATGAGAGGAAGACGCCGGCTAAAAGAGAAGTGATGGAGGCTATTATTACTGAAAATTTTGCAGTTCTTGGATGCCCTGCTCCTAGTTCATTCGATACTCTCACGCTGCATCAAATGATAACAATTTTAAGGGTGTTGCTTGCTCTAACAACAACGTGCGAATTAAGTGACAGTCATTAATTATAATCTAAATGGGATAATATATATACACACACCTTATTGCGGCATTGAACCCAAGTGCCACCATGAACGTCCAGCCTTCTATATTCATGCTGCAATATTTGAAATAACATCAACTTAACCAAAAAAAGAAAAAACATTGCCCAACCCCATGCCCATATATGTGCATATGGTAGTCACTAGTGGCATTAGGATTTCAATAAGCAATATTGATCTATTTATCAAATTAGTGTATGGAGAGCATACATGGAATCCTAGTTGAGAGCAAAGTTCAGGACCAACAAAGAGAATGGAAAAAATGAGAAAATTAAATTGCTTTCACTATACGCGACTGCTTTATATACACAGTTAGCTAACTAGTTAGCCAACAATCTATATTAACTATCTGTTAAATAGACCAAAAAGCCCTTGTAGCAACGTGTCAAGTGACTCCTTCTTTAATAGTCCCCCTCAAGCTACGTGGTGCAAACACATTAAGTACACCAAGTTTGGAAATCAAGTATTCATATTGTATGTTGCCAAGTCCCTTTGTCAACAAATCAGCTGATCCCTGGTATTGATATACTCAGTCTTCACCATGCCCTTCAGAATTTTCTCCCTGATAAGGTGACAATCTATTTCAATGTGCTTCGTTCTTTCATGAAAAATTAGATTTGTAGGTATCTATATGGCTATCTTGCTGTCAATATGGATATGAACCGGTAGTTTCACCTCAATCCCAACTTCCTTTATTAATCTTAAAAGCCATGTTAGCTCTGCAACTATTGAGACAAGGCTTCTGCACTCTGCTTCTGCAGAGTTCTAGACACTATGGTCTGCTTCTTTGACTTCCAAGAAACCAAATAATCTCCTAATTTTGATGAAGAATTCTAGCACTGACTTCCTAGAGTGTGGGCAAGCTGCTCAGTCAGCATCAAAAAATGCTGTCGCAGTTCCATTGTTGCACCTTGACAACAACACTCCTTGTCCTGGTCTTTGTTTTACATATCTAACCACCCTTCATGCAACATCAATGTGAGACTTCTTAGGTTGCTGTAGGAACTGGCTAAGAGTCCACACACCAAATGCTATGTTAGGCCTGGTTATTATAAATTATAGTAACTTCCCAATTAATCTCTGATACATTCCTATATCAGGCAACAACTCATCTCTGGTGCAACTTGATGCTCCTACATGATCATCAAATTACTTAGTAGTTATATTAGTATTGACTTCAAGTAGAGTACCAGCTGGTTTAGATGCTCCTAGTCCCAGATCACATATCAGCTCTAAGGCATATTTTTTATAATGCATCAATAATCCATCTTTACTCCTTACAAACTCTATTCCAGGGAAGTACTTTATCTCTCCTAAATCCTTCATCTTAAAGGCTTGTTGTAAGATTAACTTTGTACTCTCTATAAGTTCTAAATGACTACCTGTAATCAACATATCGTCTACATATACCAAGATTGCTATAATGTTGTTGTCAGTCTTCCTCATAAATAGCGAATAATCATGTTGTCTAAAACCAAAGCACAAAAGAACTTCTGAGAGCTTAGCATCATACATGGCTTCTATGAGTCTGCATATCTCTTCCCCTCACTCTGAAATCCCTGAGGCGATTCCATATAGATTTCATCAAGCAAGCCATCTTATAAGAATACATTATACACATCTATCTGATGGATATGTCAATGTTGTGCAACTGCAATAGGTAAGATGGTCCTAATTGTTACCATTTTTACAACATGCGAAAAAGTCTTCGAGTAGTCAATCTCTTCTCTTTGACTATATCTTTTTGTCAATATTAGTCTTGCTTTGAACCTCTCTACCTCACCTGTGGCCTTATACTTCACGATATATACCCACTTGCAGTTTTTCCTATTGGTAAATGAACTACATCCTAGGTGTGATTGCTCTACGGCAGCAATCTCAGATTGCATAACCTCAACTCACCTAGGGTTCTTGATAGCTTTAGCATCGAATGATGGCTCCACAATAGAAAATAAAGTTGCTATATAAGCCTGATATGACGGTGCCAAGGTCTCATAAGTCATATAGTGAGAGAAAGTATACGGAACATCTTGATAAACTAGCAAGGTTACAAAGTCCTTCATCAGTAAAAGAGGATTTATATTCTTGGAATTTCTCCTCAGAGGAACCCCAAAAGGAGGAACCTCAGAAGGAAGCACATAATTTTGAGGCATGAGATCATTTTGATGAGCAAAAAGTTGATTAGAGCGAGGAAGTTCTGGCTCATCAGCATTAGCTTTTGGCACATCAGCATTAGCTATAACACTCTCATCAACATCAGTTACTAGGTTGATATCAAGATCCACATGAGAATCACTAGTGCTTTTTGCATCATCAACAGACTGTAAGGATAGTCCTGTTTCAGACCAAGAGTCTTCTTCATCAGGCACTACACCTCAGAATTGAGTGTGTTCAGCAAGACCCGAACTGACAATAGTTCACTTCTTGAAGGGAAAAATATTTTCTTTGAAAGTAATATCCCTATTAACAAAGAAAAAGTAATTAGTTAAATCAAGGAGTATATAACCATTTTGAGTTTCTAAGTAGCCCATTACGATTGTAGGAATTTTTCTAGACTTGAACTTGTTAGCCTCGTGGGATATCTTAGCATAACACAAACACCCCAATACCATCGAGTTCCTTACCACCTTCACCTTCCTAGTAAAGAGATCCTAAAATATAAGGAAATCGGGGAAAAATATAGCAGAGCATTACAGATCCTTAGTCATCTTAGATACTGAAAGAAAATTATACTTTGGATCAGAGACCATGTGATTTATGGCGCTTGTGTCAACTATCTATTCTTCATGAGGACTATCATTTGCTTACTCTGCTCCCCCTTAGCAAAGCAATTACCATTACCAACAGAGGATTGGCCCTCAGTAATCACACTATAGGCATTTGCACTGTAGGACCAGCTCCCCTTTCTTCTTAAGTTAAAGTCAGGAGGATACCCTATAATCTTGTAACATTTCTCTTTGTTATGGACTTTCATTTTATAAAATTCAAATTGAACACTAAAGTTCTTTTTAGGTTTCTAATAAGTATCAGTCTTAGCAGTAAAGAGTGATGTGGATTCATAATGGCATTAGGTGCAAAAGACTTAACACGAGCATTTGCAACAATTTATTCTCTGACTCTCATTCCTCGTAATCATAACATAAGCTTGATTAATAGAGGGTATATGAGCCATCAACAGAATCTAACTTCTAGCTTGGGAATAGGATTCATTCAACCCCATCAGAAATTGAAATAACTTCTGACTCGCATATGTACTACATAATCTCTCGATTTCACACAATTGCAACCATGAGAAGGTACTAGAGTCTCAAACTCATACTAAAGGTCCTTATGCCTTGAGTAATAAACGGATATAGATGATGTACCTTGAGTAGGAGTGGATATCTCTTTGTGCAAGTATAAAGACTTGGAGGCATTAACTTTGTCAAAGCATTTATGAAGATCTACCCAGACCGCCTGAGCACCGTATCTATAGACACTCCAGTAATTAGCTCCTTAGACACAAAATTCATCAATCACGCACGACCAATAAGCCCTAATCTTCAATTGGTGATAGCCCGATCTCAAGTCAATCTTCGAGAATACCCTGGTACCCTGAATCTGATCTAACAAATCATCAATAGGAGGCTATAAATACTTGTTCTTGATAGTGACCCTACCTGTGATTAATATCCACCCTCATAGAACTACCTTTCTTCTTCACAAATAACATCGGCACACCCCAAGGAGAAATACTTGTCCTGATGAATGCCTTATCCAAAACTCCTGTAACTGCTCCTTCAACTCTTTTAACTTAGTTGGAGCCATGTGAATTGCAACACTCTCACTAGTACCATAATCCTTTTTGAGTTTCTCCTTCACTGAGTACTATCCAAAAAACCTAGCTTGTTGCATCCCATGAGTGCGATCTTCATCGAGCGACTCTAAAGAGAATAATTCCCGGTTCCAGTCAATTGAACAGAGATAGGAAAAGATCCACATGTATCAGAAGCATAGAAATAAAGTGGATGATTGTGACCGAGTTTAACCTCGAATTCATCGTCTTCAACTACGTCTGACATTGTTACCCACCGTGAGCAATTAACGAAACAAAATGAAGAAAGACGAAACCCCATACACAAAAGAGATCGAGAAGAAACCGCCTTTGAGTGGATCTAGAATCTCTAGCCCAAAGGTTCTGATACCATGTCAAATTGTTGAATTGAGAGCAAACATAGAACCTTATTTGAGAGCAAAGTTAAAAACCAACAAAGAGAAATGGAGAAAATGAGAAAACTGAATTACTTCCACTCTATGCAGCTGCTTTATATACGCAATTAGCTAACTAGTTAGGCAACAATCTCTACTAACTAACTATATGTTAAACACACCAAATAGCCCATGTAGCCACCTGCCTCCTTCTCAAATACCCACTCCTTCTTTAACACTATTATAACAATTCAGCTTGTAGTAAATTTGGTCATTTAAAATTATAATATGAAGTTTTTGAGACTTTACATTTTGTCCTAAATAAATAGTACATTTTAACATTACAGGATTTTTGGTTGGTGTTTGATTATTGTATATATATGCATATTCTCTTTTAGAACACATATAATTAAAGAGATTTTTTTTTCTTTTCAAAGCTACACAAAATATGAGTTAGTAATATTTAAGGAGATATAACAGAGTTAAGCCTAGTTTGTATACGGGTATAACCGAGGGTAATATATACGGAGTCAAAAAAAGCAAAGGCACGATTATACGGGGTCGGAATCAAAGCCGGAACGCCTCGTACTAAGGTACGAACGGAGTGGTCACCACCGGGCTTGATAAGACATTACTTCCCCGATCCCGAAACTAGCTCCGAGACCTCGGAAGACACAATAACGGTTACCCACGACTATCACGGCGCAGATTTCGGCCCGTATCGATAGCGGATCATTGATTAACAAAAAATAAGATTTTTTACCTTTCTTAGAATTGTACTAGGGTTAAAACTCTCCTACTATATAAAGGGGGTAGTTTTTATTGTATGGACACATTGTAACACGCATAATTTTTACTACTCTCTAGCTATAGAAAAATTGTTGCTTTACTGTTCATTGTTCATTCTCTATTGGCTCCGAACCGAGGGTCCGATCGAGGGCAAAACTATTGTCCAACCCAAGTTCCAGCTGGGTCATAACAATACAACTGGTTTGATTATTCATTTTATCTTTTATTCATTTATCTAACATCCTCAATTACTTGTATTGAATCAATTCACATATTCTTAAAACCACGTAAAATTTTAATTGTTATCCATTTTAAGGGTAAACAGTTTGGCGCCCACCGTGGGGCTAAGAATAATAGTGGTGGTTTAATATAAATCTCCATAATACACTCTATTTTATACTTGTTCTTTAAGGTCTCAATTTCATGTCACCTTAAAAATATCAAATTCTTAGTCCGCTCACTTGAACGTTGAGGATGGGCCTGGCCATCATGGAAAAAACAACAATCTGGTGCCTAGCAATGAGGTGCCCCCTGCTGATCCCAACGGGGTCCCAGTCACATACACAGTCAATGCTAACTCACATGTGGCCATCGACGCCAACCTCCCTACAGACCCCGAAAATACCGTTCGCGGAGGAACCCGACCAACGACTCAAGGAGCACCCGAAGGCAAAGGTGACAGGGTTTCTCTACGATTGATCTTCAAAATTCTGCAGGCTCAGAAAATGGCGAGAGCGCAGCTGCAAAACCAAAGCCACGCCCCCAGCAGAGTTGAGCCCGAACAGCCCCGGAAAAACACCCGAAGAAATGAGCAGATCACCGAAAGGCCGGGCGAAGCTGAGTCCGATGTGAGCCCTGAAGTAATGAAAATGTTAGAGGCATTAACGAAACGAGTGGAATCTGGTGAAAAGAAAATCGAGGCAAACGACAAGAAGGTAGAGACATATAATTACCGAGTTGATCAAATCCCAGGAGTGCCTCCAATATTGAAGGGCCCGGACTCCAAGAAATTTGTCCAAAAGCCTTTCGCTCCGAGCGCGACACCGAAACTAATCCCGAAGAGGTTTTAGATGCCTGATATTCCAAAATATAATGGAACCACGGATCCAAATGAGCATGTGACCTCATACACATGTGCCATCAAAGGTAACGACTTGGAAGACGATGAAATCGAGTCAGTGTTATTAAAGAAGTTTGGGGAAACTCTGTTAAAAGGAGCGATGATATGGTAACACAACATGCCCCCAAATTCCATTGATTCATTCGCTATGCTCGCAAATGCTTTTGTGGAGGCTCATGCCGGGGTCATTAAGGTCGAGACAAGAAAATCGGACCTTTTCAAGGTTAAGCAATGGGACAACGAGATGCTTAGGGAGTTCATATCGAGGTTTCAAATGGAACGGATGGACCTGCCTCTGGTTGCGGACGGTTGGGCCGTTCAGGCATTTACTTAGGGACTCAACCCCCGAAGCTCCTTGGCTTCGCAGCAGCTGAAACAAAACTTGGTAGAATACTCGGCGCCATTGGTTCTTCTCACTGTTGAAAAAGAAGAATAATTTTTTCTGGACCCCGGAATGCCAACAAGCTTTGGAAGAACTTAAACGATACCTTTCGAGTCCTCCACTGCTCCACACTCCGAAGGAGGATGAGTAACTTTACCTCTACTTGGCAGTGTCCCAGGTGGTGGTACGTGGAGTTTTGGTCCGGGAAGAGGAAAGTATGCAATTTTCAATTTACTATGTCAGTAGAACTCTAGGCGAGGTTGAAACAAGGTATCCCCACCTGGAAATATTGGCGCTCGCTTTGTTAAGCGCAGAAAACTAAAATTGTACTTTCAATGTCACCCCACATGTGTTGCAACCTCTTACCCACTGAGAAACATCATGCACAAGCCCGGACTCTCTGGATGATTGGCCAAATGGACCGTCAAAATCAGTGGGTACGATATTGAGTATCGACCCCAAACTGCCATAAAATCTCAAATTTTGGCCGGCTTCGTGGTCGACTTTACGCCGACCTTAGTGCCCGAAGTCGAAAGAGAATTATTGTTAGCCTTGGGGACTACCTCGGGAATTTGGACCCTTTTTACGGACGATGCCTCAAACGCAAATGGGTGCGGGCTCGGCATTGTGCTGAAGCCTCCTACGGGGAATGTAGTTAGGCAGTCTATTAGAACTGTAAAATTAACTAACAATGAGGCCGAGTATGAGGGCATCATTTCAGTTCTCGAATTGGCTAAAAGCCTTGGGGCCGAGATGGTCGAAGCTAAGTGCGATTCCCTCCTTGTGGTAAATCAAGTCAATGGGACATTCAAAGTAAAAGAGGAATGAATGTGAAGGTATTTGGACAAGTTACAGGTAATGCTGCATCAATTCAAGGAATGGACTCTACAACACGTGCCCCGAGATTAGAACAACGAGGCCGATGCTTTGGCTAACTTGAGGTCCTCGGTTAATAATGATGAGTTTAGCTCAGGGACAGTAGTACAACTCATGAAGTCGATAGTAGAATAAGGTCACGCCGAAGTAAACTCCATGAGTTTAACTTGGGATTGGAGGAACAAGTACATAGATTACTTGAAGACTTGAAAATTACCCTCGGATCCTAAGGAATCGAGAGCTCTGCATACGAAGGCTTCCAGGTTTAGCTTGTCCGAAGGGACTCTATTCAGAAGAACGTTCGACGGCCCACTGTCCATATGCTTGGGGCCGGGAGGTACCGAATATATCTTGAGAGAAGTTCACGAAGGCACTTGCGGGAACCATTCGGGAGCAGAATCTTTGGTTCTGAAATTAATCAGGACTGGCTATTACTGGATTGATATGGAGAAAGACGCGAAGGACTTTGTACGAAGATGCGATGGCTGCCAGAGACATGCACCGATGATCCATCAACCAGGAGAGCTACTCTATTCGGTCTTATCCCTATGGCCGTTCATGAAATGGGGAACATACATTATCGGTCCCCTGTTATGGGCACTGGTAAGGCTCAATTCATATTATTCATGACCGATTATTTTTCTAAATGGGTCGAAGCTCAAGCGTTCGAGAAAATCCGGGAAAAAAAGTCATTGACTTTATTTGGGACCACATAATATGCCAATTCGGATACCGACCGAGATCGTATGTGATAATGGGAAACAGTTCGTCGGCAGCAAGGTAAATAAGTTCTTCGAAGATCATAAGATAAAGAAAATACTATCAACACCTTACCACCTGAGTGAAAACGGACAAGCAGAATCTACGAACAAGACCATTTTCCAAAATCTGAAAAAGAGGTTGACCGATGCCAAAGGAAAATGGAAGGAAATCCTGCCCAAAGTCCTATGGGCGTACCGTACGATTCCAAAATCTAGTACCGGGGCCACCCCGTTCTCACTGGTCTACGGTGCCGAAGCCTTAATACCGGTCGAAGTGGGAGAACCGAGCCTCAGATTCCAATATGCGACCGAAGAGTCGAATGGCGAGGCCATGATCACGAGCCTAGAACTATTGGATGAAAAACGTGATGCCGCCTTAGTCCGGATGGCCACCCAAAAATAATGGACAGAAAGATACTACAACCGAAGAGCTAACCTCCGACACTTCAAGATCAGGGACTTGGTGTTGAGGAAAGTAATACTACACACTCGGGACCCGAACGAGGGGAAGCTGGGACCGAATTGGGAAGGACCATACCGAATCATCGGAGTTACCGATAAAGGCTCATGCAAACTCGAAGAGGGAAACAGTGTGCAACTGCCGAACAATTAAAACGTGACACACATAAAATGGTACTACTACTAAGGTACAATCTCAACTACTCTTTTATCATGTTATGAATCAAACTAACACTTGCAGGCAACACTCAAGAATGGATGTGGCTATTAGGTCTGAAAGCACGCGTTGCACTCTTTTTCCCTTGAACCGGTTTTGTCCCAAAATGAATTTTTCTGCAAGGTTTTTAACGAGGCAACAGTAAAACAAGCTAACTTAGATTCGAAGGCCGGTCTTAAATCGTAGTCAATGGGTGTTCATTCTGTATCAACAGTATCCGATCGACCTTGAATATTGGGGGCCATAATCCCCGGGTTAAGGCTCTTAGCAATGAAGGGAGGACACTTCGTACTTGAGTAGCTAAGGCTCGGTAGTTAGGATACATTGTAAGGGCCAAATGGTAGTAAAAACCGTGCCCACGTAGCCCACCTTAGCCATGATATAAATTTTTATCATGTACTTTACACATTGAAATGAAAGAAAGTTCCGCGTTGCTATTATACATTTTCTTGCCTCTTAAAACCCTGGATCCTAAGAGCCCAGGGTCTACCCCTACTCAGGGACTATCAAGCCCAAGGGCTACCCTTACTCGGGGACTATCATCCGAAAAAGGTTCGGACGAACCGGGCTACTAGATCCCATTTCGAACCCAAGAGCTACCCCTACTCGGGGACTATCATCCAAAAAATGCTCGGATGAACCGGGCTACTAGATCCTGGGAGCACCAAACCTATTGGATAGTTTCCAAAAACAAAAGGCTGCGGCCGCCCAAAAAATGGCTCGAAGACGTCCGAAGCTCGTGATCAAAAGAAAGGCCTTTATAAAAATTCAAAACCTGCTAAAAGGTTACCCTCGGCAAAAGCACCGTCTAAAATCACTTAAGCATCTTGAAAAAACTTCCAATCATATCGAGTTTTTAAAGCCTCGAGCAAACAAGGTTGTATCGAAGTCAGTCTCCATTCGAACTTCTGAAAAAACGGACGCCCTATAACTATATTGGATTCTATGATAAGGCATTAGGGACATTGCAAGAATAGAAATTATTAAAAGATGCTAAAAAAGTAGACACTCAGAATTGCCAGAAAGGGAAATTTTTATATATTCCAGAATATACTTACAAAGGCCCAACAAAAATGGCCTCAAAATAAACAAAAATGTACATAAGACAAAA